GAGCCATGTCTTCAATTTTTAAAAAGAAAATTAGCTGGGTATGGTAATGCATGCCTGTAGTTCCAGCTACTCTGAGCTGAAGCAGAAGGATTGCTTGATAGCCCAGGAGTTGGAGGCTGCAATGAGCATTGATTACACCACTGCATCCAACCTGGGTGGTAGAACAAGACCCTCTCAAAAACAGAAAGGAAGAAAGAAAGAAAAAAGAATGCTGTATGAATGGAATCATACAATATGATGATAAACCTTATAGGATTAGCTTTTCTCAGCAAAATTCTTCAGAGAGATTCATCCAGTTTGGTGTGTGTATCCAGAGCTCATTCATTGTTATTGCTGGGTAATAGTCTGTGGTATGGATATAGTACTATTTGGTTATTAATAGCTTTTGTCTATAAGAAACAAAGCTCCTTATAGATTTTTGTGTGGATGTATGTCTTTATTTCTCTATGATAAATGCCCAAGAGTGTAATTACTGGCATTTTTCTTCTTCTAAAATAATTGTTTTGTGTGTGTTTCCCAGAATATAGGTAATTTGATTTTTGCGTATTTGCATGGAGATCAGATATCTCACACCAACATATATATTTCAACCACTGGGGGATACAGTTTTAAGAAGTATACCCATGAAAAACAGGTATGTTAAATGGGGTAAAAAAATGAAAATAAAAATATGTGTACCATGTTATTGTAGTAATGAGCTATCCAGAGGTGAACAGGGATTTTCCCCCTTTGAGAGTCCATCTGGCTATAAGGATAGGGAACATTCCAGGTCAAGGGAGATGGCTCAGTACTCTAAGAAATTAGAAGAGAGGCAAAAGGTTTTACGTCAAGTAAAATCCTGACACAATTTAGGGAGGTTTTTAAAAAAGCTAGTGCCCTAATAAAGACTGCATGTTTATTTATACATGCAGCCACATGCACACCTAAGTATTAGTTCCAGCAGGTGCTATCAGCATGCCCATTATAAGAGAACTGTGGTGAGTTGAATGTGTCCCCTAAAAATTTATGTCCATCTAGAACCTCAGAATGTATCATCTTAGTCTGTTTGTCCTGCTATAACAAAATATCTAAGACTAGGTAATATATTAAGAACAGAAATTTGGCTGGGCATAGCAGCTTATACTTCTAATCTCAGCACTTTAGGAAGCTGTGGCAGCCTGTGGGATTGCTTGAGCCCAGAAGTTGGAGGCTGCTGTGAGGTATGATTGTGCCACTGCACTTCAGCCTAGGTGACAGAGTAAAATCCCATCTCTTTTTTTTTTCTTTTGTTGAGATAGTCTTACTTTGTTGCCCAGGCTAGGGTGCTGTGGCATCAGCCTAGCTCACAGCAGCCTCACACTGAAGCAATCCTCCTGCCTCAGCCTCCCAAGTAGCTGGGACTACAGGTACCTACCACATGCCTGGAGTTGGAGGTGCACACCAACACATGCAGCTAAGTTTTGTATTTTTTTGTAGAGACGAGGGTCTCACCCTTGCTCAGGCTACTCTCAAACTCCTGAGCTCAAGGGATCCTCCCACCTCAGCTTCCCAGAGTGCTAGGATTATAGGTGTGGGCCACCATGCCAAGCTCTAACTCTGTAATTTTATCTTTTCAAATTTTAACTCTTCTATTCTTAGTAGAAATGGGGTCTCAATCTTGCTCAGGCTTATCTCGTATTCCTGAGCTCAAGTGATCTTCCCACCATGGCCTCCAGAGTGCTAGAATTACAGGCATGGGCCACTGTGCCCAGCTGAAATCCCATCTCTTAAAAAAGAAGAGGAAAAGGAGGAAGAAGAAGGAGGAGGAGAAGGAAGAATAAGAAGCGGCAGGCGTGGTGGATCATGCCTATAATCCTAGCACTTTGGGAGGCTGAGGTGAGTGAATTGCTTGAACTCACAAGTTAGAGACCAGCCTGAGCAAGAGCAAGACCCCATCTCTGAAAAATAACTGGGTGATACACCAAGGCTGGAGGGTTCGAAACCAGCCCAGGACAGCTAAACAACAATGACAACTGCAACAAAAAATAGGTGGGTGTTGTGGCAGGTGCCTGTTGTCTCAGCTACTTGGGAGGCTGAGACAGGAGAATCGCTTAAGTCCAAGAATTTTTTATTTTTTATTTTTTTGAGAAGCAACAGATTTTTATTTTTTATTTTTTTCAAATCTTTTAATTATAAATTTATTTTTAAATAATTTCTTTTTTATTAAATCATAGTTGTGTACATTAATACTTTAATGGGGTACAGTGTTCTCCTTAATAAAGTATCACAAGAATGGAGAACCAAGAATCCAATGTACTTAATTTTTTTTGAGACAGAGCCTCAAGTTGCTGCCTTGGGTAGAGTGCTGTGGCATCACAGCTCACAGAACTTCCAACTCCTGGGCTCAAGCGATTCTCCTGCCTCCGCCTCCCAAGTAGCTGGGACTACAGGCGCTGACCGCAACACCCGGCTATTTTTGGTTGCAGCCGTCATTGTTGTTTGGCAGGCCTGGGCTGGATTCGAACTCACCAGCTCAGGTGTATGTGGCTGGCACCTTAGCCGCTTGAGCCACAGGCGCCGAGCCACAATGTACTTCATTATTATTATTATCTTTTTTTAGAGACAGAGTTCCACTCAGTTGCCCTTGGTAGAGTGCTGTCGTGTTGCAGCTCACAGCAACCTCACACCAACCTCTTGGATTTAGGTGATTCTCTTGCCTCAGCCTCCCAAGTAGCTGGAACTACAGGCGCCTGCCACAATGCACGGCTATTTTTTGTTGCAGTTTGGCTGGGGCCGGGTTTGAACATGGCCAGGCCCTACTCACTGAGCCACAGGTGCCACCACCAATGTACTTAATTCTAACAGGAAACTGGTAGATGTTCTATTTTACACACCACATAAGAGAAAAACGCAAAACAATTCAAGGTGGGGGGTGGGCAGGGGAATGATGAAGAGGGGAGGGAAGGGCATTCCCACTTAATGGGCACAATGTTAGGGTTGATGGCACACCTCTTCTGGGCAGGAAACAATTATAAGAGGGATATTACCTAACAAATGCAAAGATTGTAACCTAATTCTTTGTACCCTCAATTAACCTGAAACAAACAAAATCACACAAAAAAACTTTAGCTTATCAAATAATCTGGGGTTAGATTTACAATTATGCATATGCTTATAAGATTGGTTCATATGCAGTATTTTCTGTTTGTTTCCTAGGAAGAGTTACTAGGGGTTTTGGGTGGAATCTACCACCTTCACTCTGTGTCAGAGGTTGGGCTGCTTGTCATTGATGGAGAAAAGGTAAGTAATTTTGCACTGGAATGGACTAGTTAAATGACCTTCTCTAGACAAGGTTTTTTTTTTTTTTTTAATTAAAAAATTTCTGGCTCAGCAGCTGTAGCTCAGCCAGCCACATACAATGGAGCTGGCGGGTTCAAATCCAACCCAGGCCTGCCAAACAACAATAGCAACTACAACCAAAAAATTCTACCCAGGGCAACAGCTTGAGACTCTGTCTCAAAAAAAAAAAAGACCTTCAAAAAAAAATTTCTTTTTTGAGACAGGCTGTTACTCAGGCTGGAGTACAGTGGTATTATCGTAATTCTTTGCAGCCTTGAGCTCTTGGGCTCTCCGGCTCAAGCATTCCTCCTGCCCAGCCTCCTGAGTAGCTGACACCACAGGCACATTCCAGTATGCCTGCTTAATTTTTAAAAAAGTTTTTAGAAACAGGGTTTCCCTTTATTGCCCAAGCTGATCTTAAACTCCTAACATAGTCTCACTATGTCACCCTGGTGACGTCACAGCTCACAGCAACCTCAAGCTCTTGGACTTAAGTGATTCTCTTGCCTAAGCCTCCCAAGTAGCTGGGACTATTGTGCCGCCCACAATGCCTGACTATTTTTTGGTTATAGTTGTCATTGTTGTTTGGCAGGCCCAGTGTATGTGGTTGGCACCCTAGCTGCTGAGCTACAGGTGTTGAGCCACTCACTTAGCTTTTCATGTCTGAAATCTATCTAGGTTTTCATTCACCTATCCATCCATGTATCCATCCATTTAGATGAACTGATAAATATCTATTTGTACATCCACCTATCCACACACCCATCCTTCTACTCACTCACCTACCCCTCCCTCCCCCATTCATCTGCTTATCAGTCATGCGTACAGCACTTTTTACTTGGTGTCTACTAGTTGCTTAGGTGTCTCCTAGTTGCGCTCAGCACTGTGCTAAGCACCAGGGATAAAATACAAATCTGGTGCAAATACCACTGATGGTGTAAAGATCATTTTAGGCCTGGAGCTATGGCTCACACCTGTAATCCTAGCACTCTGGAAGGCTAAGGCAGGAGGATATCTTAAGCTCAGGAGTTAAGAGAGCAGCCTGAGCAAAAGCAAGACTTCTGCCTCTACTAAAAACAGAAAAAATTAGTTGGGCATGGTGATACCCATAGTCCCAGCTACTCTGGAGGCTAAGGCAGGAGGATCACTTGAACCCAGGAGTCTGAGGTTGCTGTGAGTAGGCTAAGGCCATGGCAGTCAAACCTGGGCAACAGAGCAAGATTCTGTCTCAAAAAAAAAAAAATAATTTTAAATCCCTCATGTCAAACTTTTTTTTTTTCTTTTTGGAGACACTGTGCCCAGCATATCAAACACTGTTTTTAAAAAAGTCTTTTAATTTGTATCCAAAAATTAGAACAAAGAACCTGTGATTTTACAGATATTAGGCAAAGACTAAGTTGAGAAGATGATTCAGTTGATGTAAACTTAAGTTGAAGGAAAAAAAAGGTTGTTTTTTTTTTTTGAGACAGAGTCTCACTATGTCGCCCTTGGTAGAGTGCTATGGTGTCACAGCTCACAACAACCTCAAACTCTTGGGCTTAAGTGATTCTCTTGCCTCAGCCTCCTAAATAGCTGGAACTATAGGTGTCCACTACAATCCCCGTCTATTTTGTTATTGTTGTTGTTGCTGTTGTTTAGCTGGCCCAGGCTGGGTTCAAACCCACCACCCTCACATATGTGGCTGGTACTGTAAGCACTGTGCTATGGGCATCGAGCCTGAAGGAAAAACTATATATTTTTTATTGTTAGGGATTCATTGAGGGTGCAAGAAACCAGGGTACACTGATTGCATTTGTTAGGTAAAGTCCCTCTTACAATCATATCTTGCCCCCCAAAGGTGTGGTATGTACCAAGACCCCACTCCCTCCCTCCTTCCCTCTCTCTGCTCTTCCTTTTCCCCACTCCTCCCTCCTTTTTTCTCTCTCTGCTCTCCCCTTGCCCCATCCCTACCATGTCGTTAATTATCATTAATTGTCCTCATATCAAAATTGAGTACATGGGATTCATGCTCCTCCATTCTTGTGATGTTTTTCTAAGAATAATGTGTTCCACTTCCATCAAGGTTAATACAAAGGCTATAAAGTCTCCATTTTTTTAAATGGCTGAATAGTATTCCATGGTGTACATATACCACAGCTGGTTAATCCATTCCTGGGTTGGTGGGCATTTAGGTTGTTTCCACATTTTGGTGATTGTAAATTGAGCTGCAGTAAACAGTCTAGTGCAAGTGTCCTTATGATAAAAGGACTTTTTTCCTTCTGGGCAGATATTTAGTAATGGGATTGCAGGGTCAAATGGGAGGTCTAGCTTGAGTTCTTTGAGGGTTCTCCGTACTTCCTTCCACAAAAGTTGTATTAGTTTGCAGTCCCACCAGCAGTGTAAAAGTGTTCCCTGCTCTCCACATCCATGCCGGCATCTGCAGTTTTTGAGATTTTGTGATGTGGACCATTCTCACTGGGGTTAGATGGTATCTCAGGGTGGTTTTGATTTGCATTTCTCTAATAATTAGGGATGATGAGCATTTTTTCATATGTTTTTTAGCCATTTGTCTGTCTTTTTTTTT